TAAACCGCATAAACACATTTCATTACACCAAATACACAAAATAATGTTCTTTTTAGCAGCGTCATATGACCCCTTTAACATGCCTTAATAGCTTACATTCTGTTATACAGCTAACTTACTTGAATGATGTATGACTTGTCTTATTTGAGACAGTGTTCAAACAGTGTGAGCTAGAAGATTTGCTATTTTAAGCTATTATTAAATTAGAGGAACTAATTTTCAACAGCAGATAGAAATATTGCATAAATAGCTATTATCTTTAATATCCTTAAAGAATATAAAGAAAATACTATTTAGGTTTGTGATAAAAAATATATATATAATCTCACAACAGTAAAAAGCTTTTAATGTATTTTACAATATCAATTATGCACGAGCATGCACGGGATAGGAAATATACAATAATGAATAAAAAATAAGCTCTAGAGTAGAGCTGCTGCATTAGATTCTAGCGAGCTAATATAAACAGAGTTCTCAATGCCGAAATGAAGAGAGGCCAAGCAAATATGAAACTACTATATAAATATATATACTGTTGAATTGAGATCACAAGCATTCTGATATTCGTATGGATATATTTATTTATTAAAAGCTAAACACTACTCATTACAGGAACATAACAGCAAATATTTACAAATTTTATTATTATTTTTTTTTCAATTAGCAGTTGTTTTTCATTATATTTATTTTCCAAATTCAGTTACCTAGAAGTGAAACATTATGTGAATTTAAAGTGAATAGATGAGTAGAAAGTTCAAACGAACAGCATTTATTTTAAACAGAAATCTTTTGTAACATTATAAATGTCTTTACTCTCACTTTTGATAAATTGAATGCATGCCTGATGAATAAAAGTAGCAATTTCTTTAAAAAATGGAATAGTACTGACCTCAAATGTTTAGATGGTGTATAGATGTGTGTGAGGGTTGTGTAGTTTTGACTATAATGAAGTGGATATTTAGAGTATGTGATCTTGTGTGTTGTTAATGGTTGGCTACAGTTGAGAAGGTCACATTTTTTAGTGCTAATTTTATGTTAGATCATACTTTATCAAGCATTTTAGATGCACTGGATTTGTGTCTCTAATGCGGTTCAGAAAGCGCTGTTGTTGGTGGAAACAGGCTGCTGTGATATTCTGTGTGTGATTTCCCCACGGACTCCGTCTCGTTTCCCTCCAGTGTCCCTCTGCAAAAACAACATTATTATCATCTGTACTGCCAGAAACACATTCAGCCTTCATCAGACTGCTGCTGCTCAAAGCTTGACAGCATCAGATATTAAAGAGACGCAGTTGTTTGTGTCTCTTAAAGGAACTGGAGAATCATTGGGGTTTATTTCGGCTTTGCGTTTCAAACACAAACATGACAGTACAATAAAGCCAGAAAAGCAGAGGTGTAATGAGACACACGGTGTGTGCAGAAGGGAATCCAGAGCTGAGCTCAAATCAATCCAGTAAATGAGGAGGTGAAACCACGTGTTTGGAAGTTGTAAACAAAGATTATTGGAGTATGTTTTACAAGAAAATACTGGATCAGTCTACTTTAAAATTGCATGATTAATTCACTGTAGAAAATCGACCTGCTTCAACTTAAAGTAATGATAAGTTATAAGTGAAAGCAATGAAAACGCTTATGACATTGATCATATCATTTTACACTGTATTTGCCCTTTTTTATAATTATTTTAAATTTACTAGCAGTTCCTGAGTGAAAATGGTCTCAAAGTAAATCCTATGCCGCTTTTTCAGGGCGCTAATCTGAAAATGCATAATTAGGGCTGGGCGATATGGCCCAAAAAATTATCACGATATCAATATCGGTAATTATCACGGTAAATGTCCAATCTTTATTTTTAAAGCCAGACTTTTGCTCCAAAGTGAAAGTTGTAGAAACCAGACCATTAATTTTCAAATCGACCTGCTTCAACTTAAAGTAATGATAAGTTATAAGTGAAAGCAATGAAAACGCTTATGACATTGATCATATCATTTTACACTGTATTTGCCCTTTTTTATAATTATTTTAAATTTACTAGCAGTTCCTGAGTGAAAATGGTCTCAAAGTAAATCCTATGCCACTTTTTCAGGGCGCTAATCTGAAAATGCATAATTAGGGCTGGGCGATATGGCCCAAAAAATTATCACGATATCAAAATCGGTAATTATCATGGTAAATGTCCAATCTTTATTTTTAAAGCCAGATTTTTGCTCCAAAGTGAAAGTTGTAGAAACCAGACCATTAATTTTCCTTAACAAAATAAATAGAAAAATAGAAAAATGAATTTGTTAGTTTCTGCATGTTCTAATGAGTGATATTGTTTCAAATCAAGAAACAGGTTTGGGTTGTCTGATAATATTAATAATAATAATGTCACTTTTTTGTCTCTTAGAAATGCACATTTGATAGTATCCTGAGTTACGATTAGGAGGTACAAAATTGTTCATTATCAAAATCAGTGACATCTGTAAAAATTGTAGCAATCTCAGTTTTACATGGTTAAATTTATTCTGAAGGTTTTTTTTTTGTTTTTATTAAGCATTGGTCTTCCATAGTAGCATACATTTAAATCATGATAAACACAGTTAAAACCACACATATAGCACCTCAATACCATGGTAAAAATATAAATATATGGTTTTTAGGTAGCCTGTATGAAAAACAGTAGTCTAAAAATATTCAGTATAAATGCACACATGCTATAGCTTAATCACAAATACATGCTATAATTATATCCCATTACTCTTGTAATAAACTTCAATGTGAATATCCAACATTTCTGCCACAACACCATGGTGCAGTGAGTGTTACTACCAGTGTCGGGGGGAACGCATTACAAGTAACGCGAGTTACGTAATCAGATTACTTTTTTCAAGTAACTACTAAAGTAACACATGACTTTTTAATTTACAAGAGACTATCTGAGTTACTTTTTCAAATAAGTAACGCAAGTTACTTTTTTTTCCAATTTATTGATTGACAGCTTAAATGTTAAACAACACAAATATCCTTTATGTATTTAATCCCATTCTATTAACCAATGTCTTCGATGATCCAGTTCAACTGTACTAATGAGCACAAATTACTCTAGACAAACATCTGTGTCTTTATTAGATTTAAAAAGTAACGCAAAAGTAACGTAACGCATTACTTCCATGAAAAGTAACTAAGTAACATAATTAGTTACTTTTTTTTTTTGGAGTAATGCAATATTGTAATGCATTACTTTAAAAAGTAACTTTCCACATCTGTGTAGAATAAAGGCCAGTAATGAATTCATCCTCTCAGGCGAGTCATTAGTGTGTGATTAGGACACAATCAGCTCAACAGTCAAGTAGAATAATATCCAGTCACGCTGCAGAGGTTTCCTTTAATTGGGCCGCTGCGTCCACGGAAATAAATGGCAAAACCTTTTTTTTGTCTTTACACTTAAAATCGCACATTTATTGTAATAATCTATATTCTATATCAAGAGAGAGTTCAGGACTGTGAAGCTGTGGATTCAGACATAAAGTCACCGAATCCTGATACACTTTCACTGATTAACACACATTCAGTCGGTAAGAGTTTCTGAAAGAAGTCTCTTCTGCTCACCAGCGCTGCCTTTATTTGATTAAACATACAGTAAAACAGTGAAATATTATTCTAATGTAAAACAGCTGTTTTCTATGTGAATATCTGTTAAACTGTAATGTATTTCTGTGATGCGCAGCTCAGTCGTGCTGCACAATATTTTTGTGGAAACTGTGATGCATTTTATTTTCCAGGATTCACAGATGAACAGAAAGTTCAAAAGAGCAGCGTTTATTTGAAACAGAAATCTACTGTAACATTATAAATGTCTTTACTGTCACTTTTGATCAGTTTAATGCAGCCTTGATGAATGGAAATATTAATTTACTTAAAATAAAAACTTTTGAACAGGTTGAGGATGTGGCGCATCAGATATAATAAATGCCATAATTTATCTGCACAGCACAAGTGTTTTGAGTCTTCAGATTCTAGTTTGGACTGGAGTGTCTTCTGAAAGTCATCGCTGCTGTCGTGAGAGATGCTTCATGATTCATCAGAACGTGCTGTAGATCTGAATGTGTGGTGTGTTTATGTGACGATAATGACCGATCACTCGTCTTAAACTCCACTGTCATGTTCATCCTTCTGCTGCTGCGTCACGTTATCTCATGTGCTTCCTCTCGTTATATAAACACACTGAACCAGCACAAGCTCTGCTGGGAAACACTCGGTATGACCGTGTGTGTGTGTGTGTGTGTGTGTGTGTGCGCGCAGGACCCAGCACCACCTGTACGGAGGACTCGTGTCATCATCAGGGGGTGTGTCTGCAGCAGTGGGAGGGCTTCTCGTGCGACTGCAGCATGACGTCCTACGGGGGCTCGCACTGCAGCGATCGTGAGTACACACACTGCCGTCACGCCATCGGCTTCATCCGGAGAACATCACACTGTAGCAGAAGTAGTTCTTATTCCAGCTCCTGTTTTAACTCCAGTGTGGTTTATGCACCCTTATCACATGTGCATCTACACATTAATGAGCATTATTGTTTTATATAATTTTTATATAAGTAATATATAAATAAAATATACCATGCATTTCCACAATAATTAAAATCACGTCATATGCATAAAATATTTATTGTTATTGCTATTATTATAATATATTTTTTCTTATTATTGCTATCGCACTTTATATACAATATTAATAGAAATACATTTATATTTACATAAATAATATAGAAATTAAATACTTTATTATATATAATATATTATATTATAAATTATTAATGCATTTATTAAATATTATATTTTATTATTTTATTAATATAAATATTTGTAATTTATAATATGTTTTTAATTATTTAACATGCATTTAAAATGTATATATATATTTTTTTTTTATTTACATTCATGCATTTAGATGCTTCAGATTCAGATGCTTATATTCAATGTGACATGCAAAAGAGGAATATATATAGCACTTTATATATTTATATATTTTTATAATACTTTATATGTATTTCCATGGCATTTTTCACAGTGCACATTATTTCAAAACAACAAGAAAATCATGATTATATATATATATATATATATATATATATATGTGTGTGTGTGTGAACAAAAAATACTTATTAGTAACATAA